CATCAGAGCTCGAGAAGTTTTGCAGAGAACAACGGGTGAAACCTTATTAAGATCTAAACACAGGCTCAATGTTGTATTTGGTTGTATTTGGTTAGCCAAAGGTGCTTCTACTAAACACTGATATGAAGGGGTGAACACTTGTGCAATCCCATATTTTACATTCTAATTAACAGGCAATACTTGGTCGCGATTTTGTCAAAATTTTCACTGAAATTAAGTTTGTTTTTGTAAATTCTTGTCCAAAAAAAAAAAGCTAAATTAAATTGCCCATGATTCAGTGCTGAGGACTATACGTATCAGGATACAGAACAATTGTCATATCGATTTAATATTTAAATTTTCTGGTCTGAATTCACAACAAAGTATTTTGGGTGATCGCCAGGCTCCCCAGTGTTTCTGAACTGGAGCTCTGGTGTTAGTACCCCGTAGAGAAGCTCTCCAGCATTCACTCTATTTATAACGCTATGCATGGATATATTGGTATTGGCTTACATCCGGCTTCACATTAAATTAACAATGCAGGATAATAATAAGGATGCTTGACATTTGAATCATGTTTCACCTGCTGGTGGTCAGAATCCTTCAGTTCTTTGTCCCTGTTAAAGTCTCCTCCTTTCAGAAACCAGCTTCTTTCACACAACTGCCGACATTCAATGAGAACAGCGACCTTATGATCACAATGCAGGCTTTTCTTTAAGCATCGATACCAAACCTGACAACTAGCGCATTAAAATGTGATTTATTTACTTTCTGTAACAATATCGACACTCAACACTTTGTTAACGACAGATAAAATTTCATCCAGTAAGACAACAAGAGTGCAGGTTTCACACATCAAGTACATGTGAGGCTTTACAGACCACATTTCACAGAATTCGTTTATCTAAACATAAGCCTGGAAATGTTTCATGATGTTTCACGCAGTGCGGAGGCAGATCAAACACAGCTGCCCACAGCTGCACTGAGTAACACGGATTTAAATAAATAGTGTAGCTGGGACTGCGGATAAGACATTAAATGTACTGAAGACCACCTCTGGGCGTTTCCAGCCACAAAGAGAACATTTCCCCTTCTTCTAAAGCCTGCCAGAAATAATAGTCTGTGTTGAGGTGATTTTAATGCAGTGACTATAAAGCTGTCTTTGCAACAAGTCCGGCGTTACATCTCCAGTCGGGCCCACTGGCACAGGGTCGGTGTGATTGCTCTGCTGCCCTTCACACTGTTCAAATACATAAGTTGGTTTTATATGAATCAGTGGCTGCGTGAAAAGGCAGAACAATGAGAAAGCAAAGAGATGTGGTGCATTTAAACTAAATCACGGTCAAAATGTCAGGAGCTTCAGCCGCGGAAACACATAAAACAGCAAATCTATCTTTTACCTTTTGTCTCCCTCGGCTGAATCCATCTGACTGAACTCTCCCACGCGTAAACCTTCGACTCTTTCAAGGTTAAACCTGTCGAATGAAGCAGAATATTCCTCGATCGTCCAGGTAACAAACATGCTAATGCCAAGATGTGGCTCTTAAATAATGAGACTGTAGATTATTTATGTGTGCCACGTTTTTACACACTGGCGCCGTGGATCGACATACATAAGTCCACTTTCATTATTTAACAGCCACACCTCGTAAAGCACCAAAGAGGCGTCTAATTGCGTTAATAAATTTCTTGGTTAGTGGACAAGCTGAGAGGTGATGAGAGCAGGAAACGCTTCAACCGTATGTGAACAGCTACACGTTTTCCCTCGAAGTTAAGGAATGTCGTTTTATGATTTCGAGATATTTGCAAATAGGATGACACTTTGAAACGTCGCCTCGTTTTGTTGCGGTGAAGCAAATAAACTGATGAGTAGCAGGAGGATTAAAACAAAAAGGCTCAGTTAAGAGGCTCCACTTGTCCTCATCACCGAGCAACCTGTATCTGAAGCGTTGACTTCAGCCAACACTGGTCCTCTCTCTGCTTCCATCGCCCGGCTGTGGTGGTTGTGGTGAGGCTGAGGGGCGTTCAGCAGGACAGTAGTTTTGTTGTGCAGGTGTGTGTGACGGTGTGTGTGTGTGTGTAGTGTGTCGGAGGGCTAGCTGAGGAGGTCGGGCTGCAGGCCGATTCTCTGCAGGACGTCTTCAGGCATACACAGGACTGGATTCACCGGTTTGATCTGCTCGTCTCCGAGGAGGGACAGACCCGCAACTCCGAACAGAGTGTGGAAAGGATCCACCTGAAAACCAGAGTTAACGTCAGTGAGAGTCGGCTAATAGCTGCAGTTACACAGCTGAAATATCTTCTCACTGTGTGTCATCGCGGAGCCAAAAAGAAAAGCAATATCTTTTAGAAATAGAGGGCAGCGTCGTCGGCCACCCGGATGAGCCAAACTTAAACCACTCACAGATGAATAACGATGATTATCCTGCAACAACGGGACACGTCAAGCTTTGAGACTTATTGCACTGTAAGGATTGGATGTGAAGCTTAGGGATGAAATAAAAATAAAGAGGAGAAAACCAGCAGGACGCAGAGGTTACAACAAGTTTTTGACAGATGAGACAAGTCGTACGTTTCAATACCCACATTACTATTTAGTGTACCCCAAATACACAGTAAGCCATGAGACGGTCAAATGCAGCATAAGTCTGAGGACGTGATAGTGTTAGGACAGCCTGATAGTTATGTACAATACCATAGTTTCTAGCTATATCATTATATGAGTTATACTATTCTCCATAATTAACAGCACTGAAGGGTCTCAGTCATGTAAAGTCATATTTTATCTCATTTATCCTTTCAATACTTCTAATTGCAAATTTAAAGTATTGCCAAAGTCAAACCAAAACTTCCCAAAAACACGGTTAAACAACTCCCCCACACCCTCGTTTTCTCCTGCCTGCACCACTACAACTCATTATTCACCTGCTTAAACAAAGCAGTAATCTCTGGCTTACAGCTGGTTCTGAATACAGCAACAGAAATACTCCAACGGCTGATGCAGAGACCCATTACGGCAGTTCTGGTCGTATTATACTGGCTCCCTATTCAGTGTAGAATTGAGCTCAAGATTCTGGTGATTACTTTTAAAGCTCTACATGGTTCAGCAGCACTCTACATGACAGAACTCAGAACCACGCATTCTGCACGTAGACCCCTGAGATCAGGAAACTCGTTGTTAAAAATTCCCCCTTCCAAGCTCAAAACAAAGTGGGGGCTGTGCTTTAACCGCTTTAACCCCAACTATTTTGAAAAACTTCCTTCAATGAGAGCTGGCAGCCTTATCAATAAATAACTGATTAATCAATACCACAGCATGAACCTGGTAGATGTTGAGTGAAGAAATGCAACATTAACCATGTATCAGTACATATCACACGACATTAGCTGCTAGCGTGGCTCAATCGGTTGACCACTGGTTAGAATATACGACACATGAGCTCTGACCGGTAACCATTAAACATCACAGGACACTTTCTCATGATGCTAAACTCCCACAATGCTCCCTGTTTTGTAACACAGAACCAGAGGAAGTCCAAGTGACCACCTCCTCTGGTTGCTTAGTAGGCGGCTCCACCTGGTGGCGTAATCAGGTATTACAGCTAATGTACAATGCACATTTTCTGACATGCACGTCTGTCGTCTTCTGCCTTGTTAGTTAACATATTTTTAATCAACACACTGATTAATGAGTAATCATAACATTTCTAGCTGTGGAGCAAGCTTTCACTGTCAGAACAGCTCAGTCACTGCCTCAGTTAAAAAGGTTTCTAAAACCCATGTGCACAGATTGGCATTTTCAGAACATTTTATCATTGGTTTCATTTTGTAGTTGCTCTTTTTCAATGTTCCAATGTTTCAGTATGATCCTCTAATGCTTCATGGTGTTTGCTGTCATTAAGTCTAGTTCTGAGTGGTTTTAAGTATATTATTAATTTATGTCAAGGTGGCTCATATGAATATAAACAAGCGTGAGCTGCTGAGCCAACACAGACAGGAAACAGTTCCCTGACAGAAGCCGAATGACGGATGACAGCGCGTTCAAGTGTTGCCCTGCATTACAAACCACATACTTTCTGTACTTACTACACATTTCATGCTACTATGACAGATATATAGGCAAAGGGGACAAAGTTCAAGGTGCAACACTCAGACAAAGTAGGATGTCGCAGTTGTACGCATACTGCATGTAGTAGTACTTTGTGAGGGCAGCTGCAGCGCGTCCTGGCAGTTAAAGGACAAAGCGTGATTTGAAATGCAGGGAGGCTTTTTAGAGAGACGTGTCCAACACGTTTCTTCTTTTATGGCTTTGTATTTATGTTCAGCAGCTCACCATGTCTCCTGGTCTATCAGCAAAACCTCCCGTCTCCTCGTCTTGACAGGCCAGAATAAACGTCTGCAGCTTGGCTTTGTCGATCCAGTGAATCCTGCCGATGATTTTCAGCGACGCCAAAACCCACCACGAGTAGCAAACATCTGGAAGCTAAGGGAGACCGAAAGTAAATCAGAGCTGTGACAGAACTTAAACTATGTCTCATTCAAGTCTTAATTTCAATACATTTTGCTGTTGACCGTAGAAGCTGAACTGCATCAGGATCTCTATATTTTCAGGTGGCTGCTCTCGCTCTGAGATACATCCAGGAAAATTATAGACGTGGAAATCTTTTCAATTTGTTTGCTATGGTGCTGCTATTATGAGTCAGCATAGACCCTTTTACTTAATCTCTGTTCTGCTGAATGGAACATGATGATAATAAACAAACACTGCAGAGCACAGAAAGCACCCGAATAAATCATCTGCAAAAATCACAAGTTACTTCTATCTTATCTCTGTGTGGGAACCCATCTCTTGAAAAAGCTTCAACAATCTCTGCTTGCTTAAGAAACTATTAGTTACGATAAATGATGCGACACCGGAGCTGCAGATGTACAACTTTATTTTACAATCTGCCGTGAAATCTAGATTACATTGGCTGTGGTTCAAACTGAAGAAAACTTCGACTTTAACTCTCAACACTGCAGAAATATGAACCATCAAAGCACAAAAACCTGTTTTTCTGGTTACAGTTTAATGAAACGGAGGGGTTTGGTTTCTCTGTACAACATCTGGAAAACACAAACCTTTTCAGGGCGTCCATTGAGACCTCCGGACGGCAGCTGTCTCTCACAGAGCCACCAGCCCAGCAGGTCAGCGTTCACCTGGTGCAGCTGGCCGGTGAGCGACAAGAAGCCGGTGCAGCAGTAAATCTGACAGAAAAAAAAACAGATTTTATTGGATAAAACTGGTCGACAAGAGTGAAAATGGAACATTAGCCGCCATCAACAGTGAGAACATTGCATCCTGGTACTGTCGGCCTCTCAATTTCTAAAAGATGTTGTTGCCTTAGTTAAAAAATAAAAAATTTAAAGAGTGATTAACTGTCAGTGAACTCACCTGACCAGCGTGAGACTCTGAACCAGGTCTGCAGCCAAAACCTCCATCAAAGTTCATACAGGACAAGACAAACTCTACCGCTTTGTCAACATTTATCATGTCCATCTTGCCCTTGGAGAGAACAAACGATGATTTAGCGTCATAGTAGACAAATTATCCAAAGCTATGAAGCTAATGCAGTTGAATACAACAGTCATGCTTGTTAAAAGTCAAACAAAGAGGTGTTAATTAGTCTAATCCATTGTAGTGAACTGAGAGATGTTTCTGCTATCCATCCTGCTTTAATTGAAATAAAACTGTACGATGCTTTCAAAATAATCATACAGGTGAATGAAAAGTTCTCGAAAACAGTTTCAACAAACATGACAGAGGATTTACTGCAAGATTCTTGTATTACGCCACAGTTCTTTTATCTCCTTGCATTTACTTAATAAACAAATTGACCTTTGTGCAGTTCACCACAAAACGAAAACATCACATACATACCAATAATGCAAGTGTAGCAACAGCACAGAAGGAAAACCGTGTATCTATTTCACCTGTAAAGACAAAGAACTCAAATTATACTAACACTAGATGCTATTTTGACATTATATTTAAAGAAAACAGTAATATAAATTAATGACACCTCTTACATCTAAGTGTTTTTTTCCTTTCAGCTGAAAGCCAGACACACAAAGATTTTTCAACTTTCTACTACTTTTTACAAGAGAACAATCCTTAAACTCTCTTTACAGGAATCTCCTGGCAGCAATCACATACAGCCACAGGATATATGATCATCAGACAATATATAAACATAACAGCTCCAGGATAAAATCAGACAAAGAAGTGTGAATCAAAGGGATTAGAAACTAATAGAAAAACAACATTCACTGATGAATTGTGACAAAAAAATACACCAGGAAATACTAAAGCAGCAGCAACAACACAGTCAGCATTTAAAAGTTTTGAAATGCTTTAAGATACCAATAAATTCAGTTTAAGCCAGTTTTATGTTTGAAAAATGGAATATGTGAATAATGCAGGGTGTATTCCATTGTGTGTCCCACTGCTCAGAAATTATTTTGCGCTTTTCATTCATTATTTTTTTAATTAACGAGAAAACGCTCAATCAAGCAACATCAATTAGACCAAAATTGGCTCACCCCATTTGTCCCCTGCAAAAGAGCCGTCTTCCTGCTGCAGCCCTTTGACATATTCGACCACTCTGTCCACATCGATCGCATCCACGCTGTCATACAAGCACAAGATCTGAGGAAGAGATTCAAGAAACACAGTGAGATAAAACCTTCATGCGAGGTAATTTACAAACCCGACGCGATCACATAAATTGAGATGATTTGCTGAACGCATCATAAAAACATCACGTTCGTCATAAATATCCTTCTGGAGGAAAAATCCTAAAGCACAGCAGCTATCAAGGCTGCTTCAGACAGTGAAAAATACAGTATTAACGTGTGACAGCTGCCAGAAAGTACTAAAAAGACACTAATAATTAATAAATATTATAGAACCCCTCAGTGATCATCCAGGTGTCATCCAGGATTAAAATCAATTCAAATACATTTATATTTCTGTTTTCGACATTCTCTGCTTACTGGATTTATCATATAGAAGATAACACATCACCAGCTTGTAATTCAGTTCCAGCCTCTCACAAAGAAGCAAAAATATTGTGTTAGGAGTCACCTGGACAGCACTGAGGGTGTAGAGCAGATGGGGGTCGTGTCCGATGCTGGCGCTGATGCCTCCACAATCGTGCTGACAGGCTTTGATGAAGTCTATGATCTCCTGCCGGTTCATCCGGGGCAGCTGGCTCATCAGGTCCATCACCGTCAGGCCCCAGTAGATCCCGCTCATCCTCAGGTATTCCGACAGCGTGTATTCCTGGAAGAACACACACGGTACAGGAAGGAATGGCGACACATATTTTAAATACATGAACTTTGGAACACAAACCCCTTAAAATCAGTAGAATTTAAAAGAACAGAAGCCTGTAAACCTTTCAGACTTTTTAAGTTGAAATCAGTCTTCTGTTTCACACTTACAACATTAGAGAAATTTGCCCTTATTAATTTGCCGACAAGGACAAAAAGTCTGTATCATTTGAATATTTACAGCTTTGACAGCTTCAGTGACGAAGCTTTAGAAATGCATTAGCTTTAGCATTAGCTTCCAAACAAATCTAATACAGTGCAGGGTGCCCACAGAAGCTGGTGATAGCTGGTCCTGGCCAGTCACTTGTAATCTTAATTTCAACACAGCGTGGCAGCTTTGCCCTGGACGCCCTCTTTGTGCCTCCAGGTTTTACTTGCATTCTTTATTTAATGCATATCAACGTGCAATCATTCCTTTTTCCTTATTTTTGTGTGCAAATGTACGTATTTGTGTGAATTTTTCCACTGTGTTAACATTATAATGATTACCTGTGTGCCTTCATAGATAGACTAAAGTAGTTAAATTCAACTTAAACCTTTTTTCACCTGTTCTTCATTAAAAATAGATAAAATGATAAATAATGATCGATACTGAGTTAAATGAAGCATGTTATCGTGACATATTCCTAAACTACATCGCCCAGCTCTATCCTGACAACACTAGAGTGGAAAATAAACACACATAAAAGCCACGAGACGGTTTTTACTCACATAGTCGTCCTTCTTGGAGCCGTAGGCTGCGATGTAATCCGCGTGTTTGTCCAGCAGCAGGGCGCTCGGAGCGTCGGGCTTAATGATGACATCTTTCACTTGGGTCCCCTGTCATCAAACACACACAGACCGGTCAGACAGGCCACAAGCTTTAACAAAAATGCAACCTCCGTACTTTCACCGTAAAACAGACCACTGAGTTAACTCCTGTTGTGAAGCTGAATGACAGAATGTGAAAATGTTTAAAGGCTTTTTCACAGTTTGTGACATTAACTAGCTATATGCTAACGATGATGCTAGCTACATTTTAGCCTTCTTGGTAGCTGCTTTTACAGAATAACAGTCGGCGAGACACGAATGTTGGGACTTAAGCGAAATAAATAAACAACTACATCCACTGTGGTTATAATTTTATCCAAAACAACAGAGAATATTACAAACAGGACGTTTGTTACCATTCTGACATGATCCTACTACTTCTTCTTCTGCTGCCTTTTCTTCTTCTTCTACGGCAGTTTTACGGCAGCTAGCTTACACGCATGAGCGCCCCCTTCTGCTTTGGAGGGCAATCCTCATCAGTGCAGCGGTGGAAGTGCACATTTACTTAAGAAAAAAATGGAGGTACTTTAACTTTACTGGAGTACTTTGTTTTCATGGACATCGGCTCAGGAGAAAATATGATCATATCAACATTTGATGTCATGTCAAAAAAACACTTTTACAAACAAAATGCATGAGAAACCCATAAAGTATGAAGCTTAGGTATTAATTGAAGTTCAAACTAGTCATTTAAGCCATTTTTAAATAGAAATTGCTGCCTGGCTGCTTCTCCTTACAGCTTGGGAACCTATTTTTATTCTTTATTCATTTTAGGTTATTTGTTTGTCCAAAATTGCTAATTTGAAAAATGTGTGCAAGGTATGGACTATTTTCTAAACTTTTATCAAACAATCAAATGCAGATTTAATCACTGAAAATCCTAGAAAATGACACTGAAAGAGACTCTAAGGATTAAACATGATAGAGCACCTCAGTGATTTTGTATTTTAGTGTGTTATCCAGAAGTAAAATGAATTTAAAAGTATATATTTGTGGCGGGGCTGCAAGGTGGTGCAGTTGGTAGCACTGTTGCCTCGCAGCAAGAAGTTTGCCGGTTTGCGTCCCGGTGGGGGCACCGGAATCTTTGTGTGTGGAGTCTCCATGTTCTCCCCGTGCAGCGTGGGTTCTCTCCGGGTTCTCCGGCTTCCTCCCACACAGTCCAAAAACATGTTGAGGTTAATTGGTGATTCTAAATTGTCCGTAGGTGTGAATGTGAGTGTGCTTGGTTGTCTGTCTCTAAGTGTAGCCCTGTGATAGACTGGTTACCTGTCCAGGTGAACCTGCCTTCACCCTGAGTCAGCTGGGATAGACTCCAGCCCCCCATGACCCTAGTGAGGATTAAGCGGTGTATAATGGATGCATATTTGTGGCGTGCTCACTTGCTGCGTTGGATACAACTGACATACTGTTTTAGAGCACCATGCTCACCTCTTCCACTGAGAAACCATTAGTCTAGCCGTGATTTGACTCTGAGAAAGCCTTTCCTTTAAAAACAATTTGACACTTGATACTTTCTTGGTTCTGATGCCATGTTTCCCACTATAACAATGGTACTTAATGAGCAACGCTTTGCTGGAAACTTGAGTCATATTTCTAAGAGGTGAACAACGGCTGCAGGTTGAATGCTGCTTCAATGGAAAACTGACCTTCTGAACAAAAGCGTTAACAAGGTGACCGACACCAATCTGCTTCCGTTTGATTGCAATCATAGAAGTAGTGCAGAATCAGAACTATTTTTTGTTCAGTTTAATTGTCAGGCTCGTTTTTAGCGTTTGATTTCCTGTTTCCAGGTTTAGATGAAAATCTGGCAGATTTCATATGTGCTAGTCAAAGTCATGAACGAACATCTGCAGGAGAACTCAGTAGAATTTTACTACCAGGTTTGTTTGTTTTGAAAAACAAGTTTAACTTTTCAGTCAGTTCTTCCAACATGAGAAAGATGAAATGAGAAAATAATGCTGATTTCTCTAAAAATAAAGAAACAACCACATGGTCTACAATGAGTGGAGTAATTTAATAAATGGATGGCATACAGAAGATTTCACCATTATGTTACGTAGCAGCTGAACCAAAATGTCTGTATTACTTTCACACTTTCGATATCTGCACAGGTTAAGAGTGAAGCTGATGTTTGATACATGTTTAAATTGACAGCAGCTACGACTGGTACATCAGGCAGAAAACCCATTTTTCAAGATCATGCACTTTTACATATATTAAAACATCTCTACATGTTCTGTCGAGAAATGGATTTAAGCAATTATTTTACAATACGATCGTCAGAACAAACAGAAGTTCAGCAGGAAGTTTCACTGGGATGAAATAAGGCATGAAGACAATGAATTACTGTCATTTGTTCACTGCAAGTCAGGACGGTACGGAGCCTGTCTGGTAACATCGATAAGAAATAAAAACAACTCGTTCCCACGCATTAGTAAATCGTGGCCACGAGTTATTAATGCGTGGGAACGAGTTATTTTCTTTCTTATCGATGTCACCAGACGGGCTCCGTAGGACGGTGAGCAAAACCAACACAAATTTGTGAAGTTCTTGGTGTAAGGCTGAAGGTCAGACTGAACCTGCTCCTCCTCCCTTAAACTGGATGATCTGTCCTCACAAAAAACCCTAAGTGCCTGTGTTTCCTTTATGAATTTATCACGTCACACATGGCCAAGCAGCACTTTTACAGTTTAACTTGGCAGATAAATAGCACCAGATTAATGCTTAATAAACTGTTTATTTGTGGGGCTGCTGCCAGTATTTACAGCCTGCAGAGTTTTTGTTCAAAAGTCTATTTACAGCTGATATTTACCTGAACGTCAATGTGATAAACAGAACATGATGATGTGATTATTTGTTATTTGATGGCATTTAAAATGATCTATGTCATTGTGAAGGCTGTGCTCTGCAGGGTCTAAGTTCCCTGAATACAAAGATTTACTGTCATCGGTCAATTCAGGGTCTGAATCAAAGCGCAGCAGGATGCTTTGACATTAAGGCAAACAACACTTGGAGTTGTCCTGAGTGCAAGTGGCCAGATGTATTTTTCAGGAGCGCATGTTATGTATAGAAAAGCTACAACAAGTACATGTGAATGCGGACGAATCGGGACGCAGGGCTCATTTCTTGAATCTTCCCAGGTGTTCTCGGGCAATGATGATTCTTTGGATCTGAGCTGTGCCCTCGTAGATCTGCAGAGGAATACAGATGTTCAGATGCATTAAAAAAACAAAAATAAGAAGAAGTCTTACTGCAGAGGCACTGATTAGGTGCACATCATCATCATCATCACTTACCTGGTAGATCTTTGCGTCTCTCATCAGCTTCTCCACCGGGTATTCACTGTTGAAGCCGTTGCCTCCGAATACCTGAACGGCGTCGGTGGCCACCTGATTTGCGATGTCTCCGGCGAAAGCCTTGGCGATGGAGGCGTAGTAGGTGTTTCTACGGCCCTGATCCACTTCCCAGGCGGATCGCTGGTACGCCATCCTGGCCAGCTCCACCTTCATGGCCATCTCAGCCAGGAGGAAGGACACGGCCTGGTGCTGTGAAACAAGGGACAGAGCAGCTGATTGATCCTGCGCTCACCTGACAGCAATGCAGCTTATAAATGCATGTGATGAACCAGGATGCACAAAAACAAAGTATGTGAACAAACATCAGCAATAGCTCTGCCAAAGGTCTTCCTCTCCAGTGCGTAGTTGGTGGCTTCATCGAGCGCTCTCTGTGCCAGACCTGTTGCTCCTGCTGCCACCTGCAAAACGGACACAAATCTTTAGTGAAACGTACAATAAAAACACAGCTACTAGACTGGAGAGGTGGTTGAAAGCTCCTTTAATATTAAGTGTTATTGGTATGTGGGGAAGGGACGTCGTTTTTGTCATCTTCTACAGATTTGGATTTATATGTCCATGTATAAGTTGCCTTTTCTGCTGCAAGTTCTGATGCCGTTTGTGGTGCACAGAACGCATCACGGTCAGGCTCAAGTAACGCGCAAACAGCAACTTTCACAAGTCAGGAAACCCAGCTATCAACAGCGAGTCCTGTGTTATATTTTTGTGACCATTGATTGGTGCACTTTGTGTAACAGACAGTTTAGAAAAGTACTAAATAAAAACTGACTTGACACTGTTTGAAAGCTTTCTCTAGTAAACAGTTAATCCAAGGAGATGAAAGTCTTCATTATTAGAGCTTTTTTTTTTTTTCATGTGTGAGTGACAGTTGTAATTCTTTGGACAGACTGTCTTGCTGGTTCATTGCTGCAGTAAATAAGCTGCTGTCCTGAATTTATTTCCTCTGTGGCAGCAAACAGCATCCCACAAGCCTTCACAAACTCCTGCAGGTTAAACAGAGACTTCCAAACCCTTTTAGTGCTGACTGGCTCACTATAAACTGACTGGAAACACTTGCTAGCAGAGCAATATGAAGGCTGCAAATCCTGCAGAGGACTGTTACCAGGACACTGTTTTCATCTAATGTTCTCAACATGTTACTACCTCGTCTTCAGATATAAAACAACCCTCACTTATCAAACCTAATGTTCAGAGAAAGATCTCGTGCTACATTGGGGCAAATGTAAAGCACACGCTTTCTAAAAACTCTGTCACAGCTGGAGGACTCACTGGTGGCCTGGTGTTGTCGAAGGCACCCATGGCAATTTTGAAGCCAGCTCCCTCTCCAATCAGGACGTTCTCCTTCGGTATCCTCACGTCCTCAAAAGTGATTCCTCTGGTGTCGGAGCACCTCTGGCCCATGTTCATCTCCTAAGAGCACAAAACAAACAAGTTATATCCTGAGCCACATGTCACAGACCACACACACACACAAAAGTAATTAAACCATCCTGGTTGGATTGCAAAAGTTTCCCTATAAGCCTATAATAACAACAATAATAGTTTATATTGTACTCATGTCTTCCTGTATTACAGGGAGCAACAAGGAGCAGCGTCCTGTGTCTAAATCATGAATTAGGAGCTCTACATATGTGACAGCTCAGCAGGCCAATGTGCTTTTCACTATAAAAATGTAAAAATATAATAAAGCAAAATGTTTTGAAGAACTGGCCACATAAACAGTTTAGTTCAAAAGGTGGTGCAGTTTCTCTGCTGTGGAGTTTTAACGGTTAATTAGAAAATAACAGCGACATATATACACTGCTACACATGTTTGCTGTCACAGCTGTTTGGGTACAAATGTTAAAGGTGAAGTGATAGTCTGCTTCATTAGCTTCTGTCTTTTTTTGTTTAATATGGACATTTTTGGTGTTTTTGAGGAGACAGTTTTGCAATGATACGGCGCTAAACTGTACAGCCTACAGAAATCTGTTCCTGCAGATTATAAATGAGCCTCATCTCACCTTCCTTCCTGGTGTGAGTCCTGGAGTGTCTGCCTCCACAATGAAGCCAGTAAAAGCTTTGCTCGCTGGGCATTTGGGGTCTGGGTTTGTGCGGGCGAGGAGGAAGTACCTGGAAATTATGAAACGTATGAATAGTTAGTAAAACAGAGATGTTTGAGTAGTAATCTAATGCAACAATTCTACCTTCATGAAGGTTACAATGATCATTTATGGTTTGTCTCTATCCAGCAACTTCATCCTCCAAAATGACCATTCAGAAGAATCAATGCCACTTTCAATACAATTTTTTTAAAATTTATATACCTTATAACCTTCATTAAGATGGACAACAGCAACGGCAGTGAGTACGTACCAGTTAGCTTTCCCTCCGTTGGTGATCCACATCTTCTGTCCGTTAACAACATACTCGTCTCCCACCTTCTCAGCTCGGGTCTTGATGTTGGCCACATCAGAGCCTGCGCCGGGTTCGGTGACGCAGTAGGCCTGTCGAAAACAAGCCACAAAAGGAGTTAACAAACATGTACTTATTTAAGCCTTTGGGTAAATGTTCTTCCTTCCTACAACAACCATGTGACATCCTTGAAGTAATGACACTTTCAAACAAATACGTACACACATAAGAGGCTCCTCTGTCATCCTTCCCAGGTATTTCTTCTTCTGTGCATCACTTCCAGCGAGTATAACGGGCATTTGCTGTGTGGGACAAACAGATGCAAATTCACTCTTACTGAGCTACAACATCAGTTATTCCTCAGCGTTCTGACAGGACTGGTGTTGAAACCATCCAGACTGATGCGCCCTGACTGGTTGTAAAAGCAACGAGGACAGCAGAGGCACAGGTCTGATAAGAAAAGTTCTTGCTTATGCTGCTGGTTGATTTCAACATTTCAGTTAAATTCTGTGTGGAACAGGAAACGTTCATGTTGTACGGAGGCAGTCCAGACCTACAGTATGTGGATCTGTGGTGATCTATGAGCTCCATTTAAAAAAAAAACAACAAACAAACAAAAAAAAAACCTACCTGATATGAAATGGTGGCAAAAAATCTTTTATTCTAATCAATATGCCTTATGAATCCAGTACCAAAACAAAGCTCATTCCTTGCTGCTGTTTATCAAAGTGCAACAAAAAGGAAATTACTGTTAAAGGGGAGAACAGCTTGTTTAAGCTTCTACTAAGACAATATATTGCGTTTTGAGAACAACAATGTTTGAAAACAGTGACCATAGAAACTCAGTATTATCTCTGTTGATACAAATACTCGGGAAACCAAGACACTGATGCTTATGGAACAGAAACGAGTGTCATCCTGTCCTCTGGCCTCATGCTGCTCATGTGGATTAACTGCTTGGCAGCTGGTGGAACATTCTGACACGCGTGTTACATTACACAACCAGCAACAAGTCCTCAACTCAAGTTAAACATTATCTTTTACGTACCTCTGTTGTCCCTCCCTGTCCTGCTGTCTGAATCATTCCAGTCATATGTTTACAGTCTATAATTCTGTCACCTTGATTCTCTAATGTGTCAGGATTAATTCATTCTAGTTTCCCCCTTAATTTTCTCCCTGATCTGAATAGAGTCTACAGACAGACTGCGCTGTATACACCAAATCCATTGTAAAGCTGCTTGAGGAAATTTGTGTTTTTTTTCCCTACGTAAACAAAATTAGCTTAACTGTTGTTTGCGGTGCATGCCGGAAAAGCCGATTCACCCTCCAGCAAACAAACAGTTGAGGAGAGAAACTGCATGTTCCCCATAAATTACTTCAAAACCATATTTTCTGCTGTGCTCACTCTGGTTCCTTTACGTGCAGACAATAGATCAACCTTTAAAAAGATTCTAAAATACTTGGGCCAGGTTTTGAGGTCAGGTCAGGACAACTTTTGAGGCCATCTCTACTCATGGATGGTTCAAAGTACTGTGTTTATTTTGATTTGAAAGAACTGGAAAGCATTTTTAAAAATGCCAGAGAATTACTGGACATCCTAAAGAATGAAAACTTACTCCCAGAGAGTTTGCCTCCATTGCAGTCTGGACTCCTGTGCAGCCATAAGCCAACTCTTCTGTGATGAGGCAGCTGTCAAAGATGGACAAGCCCATTCCACCTGAATAAAGGAGGAACAAACATGAGAGGCTTCAAGCTGTGCTCGAACAGAGATCTGCCAACTTGCCTGAAACAAAACTCAACATGTGTACTTATTAAGAGCGACTGTTCAAAGGTATGATCAGGATTGTGTGCGTGATTTGGCAAAGCAGCCTGTGTGTCACCTGACACTGGGTAATACAGGTTAATTAAAATGGCTTGGAGACCATATTTTTCTTCATTTCTGTTTTTCCACATAAAACAGGATGATATCAGAAACCTCAATTGAATCTTTAGGAGTTACAAAGTAGACACAATTTGTTTTTTAGGTGAGAAATGCTTTTGAAAATGTAGCTGAAGCAGAGGTGTGCACTGAGATGGTAATACGTTGCTGCGATATGCTGGATGTGAGGGTTGAAAATAAAACCTTTCACTGTATTGGATTAAACACACCCTTGATTGTAGGATGCTTCAGTGTACAAAGTATGAAACTTTGCAGGGTGAAAAGAAAGACTGTAATTTAAATTAAAATATTCTGGAATATAAAAAATAAGCTGCAGGAACAAACACAAAACAAGACACTGTTCCTTTCATGAGACCTTCCTAACACCTTGCTTCCTCCATCAGTTAACTTTAAAATAAAACACACCATATTCCTGTGGAATGTGGCCGTTCACCAGACCAAGCTCCCACGCTTTCTTGATCAGTGGGAGTGGATACTGTACAAGAAAAAGAGATGACAAGACAAAAAAAATTAAAACTTTATCGAAAGGAAAATGTTACAGCAGGCCAAGAAACACTAAGAGGCAAGTATGTACAAGTAAACTTTTCAAATACTTTAGGAAAATAAGCCCAATAGAACAACTAATTTCTGACAGCAAGCTAATTATGCAGCCATTTAGATTCATATCGATAGAGATAAAAGGTGGCTGAAGAACTGAATCCTTGTTGTTTGGCAAAAACTAAAAAAAAAAAACAAAAGCGCTCTTTTCTTCATGGAATTAGTCACGAGAATCCGTCTTAAAATGACAATCAGCCAAATTTCCCCTCAGGTTGTTTGTTTTAGGTGAAAAGGTTACATGTTTAAAGAGGCTCAAGTATACGAAGCACTATTTACTTTGTGTTATTTAACTGATTGATTTGTAAACAAAATGGCAGCAACAGCCATGATGAACTTACAAACTCATAATGCTGGTTCTTGCACAGAAAATACCGCACATTAGAAAAATATCACTAAAAAGCAAAGCTCTGTAAAATGGGAGCACATCAACATTTACAGCTTTAATGTTGATCAACTCAAGCCATATTTAATCAGACAATCTCACACTCACTTCGCCACTCTTGTCGTAAGCTGCTGCAACGGGCACGATCTCTTCACGTGCGAACCTCCTCGCCAGCTGCTGGAACTCCTTCTGCTGATCTGTCAGCTCTGTGCACCAAAACAGCACGAAATCATGATGTTGGAAATAACTACTGGCCTCAGAAATCATTCATGTACTCCATACATTAAGAAAAAAGCATCAATTCCTAAAGCAATTTTAATGTGAAAGGTTGAAGGCCCCATTTAAAGCTTGATGTTGTTCGTACAAAATCTCTTTAAGGAAGGAAAGGAGTGTCAAATTTAGATCAACAAAAGACCAATCTGATATATGAAAGACATGTTCTTTAATCTCATGATCTACATTTAACTCACCAAACGAGAAGCCGAGAGATCCTTGGCTATTAGACAATGATGCATTGGCTGCGGCTGCACTGGAGCTCTGGAGGCGGATCCCAGACCGCACACCGGCTCTGAACACCTGTTTGTGAAGGGAAAGCCAGCCGCAAAACAGAAAGTTTAAGTTACCTGTACACCTTTTGCAGTTATTACTAACAGGTTAGTCCAGCTTTGTGTCCCTGATGTTTTCCCATTACATTTGAGTGCTCAGCATGTTTTCATCTGCAAAATAAATACTTTGTGGAAAACCTTTCTAGAAATTTTAGACCAACAATCTGGAATTAAGCAATGTCTGCTGCACAACAATGCAGTTCAGACACTGCAGCTGTATTTCCTATATAGCTATAGCTACACAACAACAAGTAATAATTTGTATGGAAATATAGAAATAATATTAAGATTCATATGCATAATATAGCTAAATAGTATAGAGATGGATATTTGTTTTACACTGTATAAATTAAGTCACCCCTTATAAAGATCTATGTCAAAAACCACCATACATGGACCCCTCAAATCCAGACTTAGATTAACAGAACATGTAGACGGTTTATTCCATTTGTGAAAACTTACAAAATCTAAAAGAAAAACATTTCAACCCATTTAGACCACATCCAGCCAGTTCCAGACTAAAAATGATAATGCTTTAATAAATAAAACCAGAGGAGTCAAAGACACTTTAAAACAGCTTTAAATTAGTGAAACTATATTCAATTTCCTCAAAGGCAAAAATAGTGAGTTCACTGCTTTCCCCACTCTAGACTACATCAAATCAGATCTATATACCACCATGTGATCTAACTTTATCTGGATTAAATTCACCAAAGAACGTTAGTTTAACACAGGTTAAAATTTGTCAAAACACGTAACTGTGAAAGCATATTAAAAAGGGACAATTTCACTGCTTTTTCAAACCATCTGGACCTCCTCCAACCTGGTCAAGATCAAAAACCACGATACACTGGACCTGTCACATCTGAATTAAAATCAACCACAGGAACTTCAAACTAGTGTAACTTCATCCAATTTATGTAAAATCCAAAAAAGGGTGATTTTACTGCTTTGTCAACCCATCTGGACCACATCCAATTAGGTCTAGATTAAAAATCCATTAAAAATGGACTTGCTCCAGAGAACATAACACAATATTGAAACTTTAGTCAATTTGATAACACAGAAATGGATGGTTTCTCGAGTTTTTTCTCCCTCAAGACTTCATCAGATGAGATCGAGATCAAAAATGACAATTTTTAGACTAGTCAAAGGCGGACTAGACAAAAAGGACCAATGTAAAGTCATTTTAAAACACAGTATGACAACAAAGAAAAGAGGGAATTTTACTGGACCTTCACAAGGACCTTGGCAGCACCAGCTCTTTATGAAACCAGCCGGTTAATGATTTTACAGATGAACTGGTATGTAGCCAAGTGGCTCAGGTGTGAGCGAATGTTAGTACAGGACAGCTGCAAACTTTGGATAATATGTGGTACATAAAATAAAATGCGTTATAACACTGCAGCTTGTTGCAGCTTGTTGCTAGCTAACGTTAGCCTGTGACGCAACTAGCAAAGCTTGCGCCTGTTTGGTTGGAGGAACAATCAAATGTGGGTCAGGAGGACCACCAGCCGCTCCGAAAATACTTCAATTAACTAAAATGTACAAAAACACAAAGGTATATGACGGATAATGTCAAAAAAACACGTACCTTATTGAGCAGCATTGTGACACAGTCAGAGTCGTCGCACAAACACCACGGACTTGACGTTACCTCTGCCCTACTTCTAAATGAGCGGCCTCTCAGCCAATCACAGCGGCGGGATTTGGTCACGAGTGGCTCCTCGGCATCCCCACTGTGACTTTCGCCCCAGTTTAGTTACCTAACAAAGCTCACCTCCACTCTCAGAAATACAAAATACACTCAGAGCTGGAATATGATCAGAAAGATACTCAAAATTACCTCTGAGAGACACTATGGCTCTTTTTAAACTATATATATATATATGTATAAATATAATCACACAAGTAGGCAGTGATGAACATGTCAGAACTAAAAACAGATGCAGTGCAAAGGTGTGAATGCAGGGTAATTTTCCTGCACTGCAGTTATTTTTTATTGAACTGTTTTCATGTCCAGACAGAAGCTGGGGACATATGAGGACACGAACAAACCCTCTGACTGCATTGCCTTGAATTTGCCAGCAGATGACGCCAACTAATGGGCAGATTCCCATTCAAATGCAATGGGGGCAAAAAGTAGTCAATAACCACCACTGACAGAAGAAATAATCTAACTACCACCGCTGGGTAATAAAACCCAACAGTCTGGCAAAACAGTGTTGGCAGTCTCTTTTTTTATTGTGCAATTAAAGAGGAATAATGTAAGAACTGCCACATTTGGCAAATGCACTTACATTGTGTGTAATATGCTAACAAATCAGGAGTTTTTACATCCATAAAGTCACATACCCATCTTGTTTTTCTATTATCCACTGCATTGATTCTCATTTTACACCAGTTTGTTTCTTAGCAACATCTTGCACAAGAATTCCCTTCAGGATTCATCAAGTTTTGTTGATGCTTCTTGTTCAAGTAGAAGACAGTGAATGAGTGGACACTAAGCACTGTGAAGTAGGTTTAAGGTACTTCGGCCAATTTTAGCGACTTCAGTTCCACAATTTCAAGAAAACCATTGCATTGACTTAAAAGCACCAAGTAGATAAAGATTTATATATGATGAAACACAAGATTTGACCTCCTGCTGTAAAGAGCACCAATAAAACTTTGAAGATGTGCTTATTAGTCACATTAATTTAAACACCAACAGCTTCATTATTCTAAATTGTTCTGATCAGTACCATACTGGCAAACTGTAATCACACTGGTTTTACAGCCACAGATGTGAATACTTTTCATTCAGCTTCTGACCTTTGAATTGAGCAATTTACTGCATGGAATTGAGTTTGATAATAGATGCCGATATTTGCCATCAGTCGGAATATTAAATTTGTTTGGATTGAACTTCTGAAAGGAGTCATGTTTGGATAAGATTGAATGAACACGAAAAACAAACAGTCGTGGGACGTGTGGATTTTATTGACGTATCAAATAGCTGTACATCTATTTGCCTTTCTTGGCCTTGATCTTCCTCAGGTAGAACTCGAGCTCCTTGCCTTCCAAGACGTAGCCGTCTGCCCTGCCGCACTGGCCGGGTCTGGAGGCGATGCAAGCTGCAGGAGGAAGATGAAAACACGGTCAGTCGAGGAGGTTCAAACAGTTTATGTTGTGCAATTTAAGTTCCAGTAAAAGGGCAGCTTTAATGTTACAGAAACATTATAACTCGTGTCACCATCTTCTCACAGATGCCTACATAAGAAAGTTAATCTGAGTAAAAGTGGGATTTTGTGTTGACAGAGTAGTTCGTATAGTTAGTATATAGTTAGTATGAGTCTTGTGTGTACAAGAATTTACACCTAATTTCTCAGCTAAACAAATTTACACACTGAAACCTTCCAGTATGCAAACATCACATTTGTTGACACTTGCATAAGGGCAGTAAATGTAACACTCCCCACTAATTTTGTATTCAGTTGCACCATCTTTCATGACTATATACATTTTAATATAATCAAAATCAAATAGATTTATATGGGATTATTTTTCCCCCTTTTAAGTCCAACTTTAATTACAAATAACTATACTCTGCTAATTTCCATTCAAAACAATAACTGATGGCATCTGATCCTCTGAATACCGAGGGATGTCCAGCAGACAGCCAATCAGCAGCAAACCTTCCAAACAAGCTGCAATACCAATACTGGACTCACCAAGCAGTTTTCCCTGCTGGAACTGCTCCTCCAGGAGGTTGCTGATCTTGGCTGTCTTTTTACGCTCGTCGTACTTCTTCTGAGTCTTCTTTGACCTCTTCTTGTTGAGGACCTCTTCCTCCTCAGGAGTCTGTAGCAGAAGACGAAACAAGTCTCATTACATTATTACAAAACACTCAGTTTCTGTTCAAGCTGAAGTAATTCAAATGTAAAATTAACCCTGCAGCAGATGTCTGTAGGTAACAGGTCTTTCTCAGAGTCGTAGTTATCACCACTTTCATTCAGTAGCAGAACTGGACAAAGTTATCATCATGGAAAGACATGTACCAAATTTAACAGCACTTCAACAGATGTGACCAAAAAAAATAAAAAACCTTTAAATGAATTCACCATGCTGTAACACTGGTTGTAATGCTGTTTGAGGTCAACAGGCAAATATATTATTGCATAAATAAAGAGACCACCGTTAAAAACTTGCCCCAGGATGTACATTTCCAATAAATCTACACGTCTAAACTTGTGGAATATCGACAATGTGAAAATGCAGGTTAGCATTACAGCAACATGTAGTAAGACCAGTGTTACGCTCTGGTAGTAAGACAGGATGGGACAAAAGATGCTCACTAAAACCTAATAGCCGCCACAGCAGCACCAGAGAATCGCAGAACGAAATAATAAAGCTGCTGTGCCATTACTACATGTATCCCTGCTGGATAACAAAGTGTCACCACGTACCAGCTTGGCTCCCTTCTTGCGTCCCAGTGGAGTGGCGTAGTGGGCCTCATACCACTGCCTGAAGGGAAGGCTGTCGACGAGGACGATGCAGTTCTTCACCAGAGTCTTGGTTCTGACCAGCTCGTTGTTGGAGGCGTTGTAGACCACATCGATGATCCTGGTCTTGCGAGTGCAGCCTGTGTGCACAAAATCAAGATTGGTCAACACAAGCAAACTTCCCAGTCATGCTGTCCACTAGGACAAATCTCAACACAGGAAATGGGTCTTTCTCAGAGTCTTTAATATCATCACTTGCACTCAGTAGCAGAACTGGACAAAGTTATCCTCATGGAAAGATATGAGCAACACCAGAGAAGGTTGAAAAGGTGACAGTGCACAAACTTACACTCAGAGCCCCAAGAGAAGTTTCCAACATCCAACCTCAGAGCACGGTACTTCTTGTTCCCACCACGGACCCTCACTGTGTGGATACGACGAGGTCCGATCTATAGAAACAGACATTTGATTAGTGTTGACAAAAGTAACTGTGTACCTTGCTTTCTGATGGCTTACAGGAAAATAGTTATATTAGCCCTCTGAACACCGGCGTTTTGCCCGTTTTTGGTTTTTTTCTTTTGTTTTTTTTTGTCTCATTTTTCACTGCAATATGAAGTCCTGCACAACCATGGATAGAAATAGGGAGAAGACAAAAATGTCTTTGTGCAGTATAACCAGATCATAATGCCATAAATCATTTATTTTATTTTTTTAACTAAGTGAAAGTTCTTCTTTAGTTGTCTAACAAAAACTGAAAAATCTGGACATTAACATGTAGCGCACATGTTTAAAATGCCTCCAGGTAGCACAAATACTAGAAAACGAACATGTGAAAACAAACCTGTGGCTCTTGGCATGAGATATTTTACAACTCAGATTTCTGCATGTACCTCAGGTGAGCTCACACAGCCTGCAGATCAATGTTTTTAAGACATTTCTTTAAAATCCACTGGCCGGTTTGGGTGTTCAGCGGGTTAATATTCATTGAAGCGTGTCAGTGTAACTATGACAATCCTAGCATTGGTAAGTCCAAAGCTTTGAACCAATACGGCTCAAAAAAGACCTACCTAAGGTCAAGTTTTCATCACCCACGCTACATCACTAAGCCCAGTTTAAGCTGGTGAGCCAATGATTTTTATTCACCTTTGTGTTTGCAGGAGGGCGCCCGAGCTCATACTTCCTCTTCTTGTGGTAGGGCTTGCGTTTACCGCCAGTCTTGCGGCGTTTATGCCAGTTGTCCCTTGAGATACCTAAGAAAATGAAAAAAGGAATAACAAGTTAGATCAGAGTGCTCACAAGATGTTCAATAGAAAATGACCTTCTATGCTTGAGCAATCAGTTCTCCAAGGTATGGGTTGTCCGCAATTTAATTCGGATTCCGCAAAAGAGTTTCATCATGTCACTCAAGCAAATAAAAATTCCTATCATGGTTAAATGGGACCAACGGAAGTTGGTTCCAAAAGCTAAATATTCTTACTGTCACATTGGATTACATTTACAGCTATTCAAAGCCTAGAAACGAAACAAAACTTTGCTGTAGACCATAGCAATCTTATTTCTCTAGTAACTTTAATTAGAGCCTATGCACCGCAATAAAGACTTCTCAAGAGGCTACATTACAGGAATAAGATGCTTAGGGTAATTCAAAATTAGTTATCCAACACTGTTTGTCCAGCAGGGAAGCTAAAACATCAAAATATACAACAATCTCAGCACTGCCTCCAGCACATGCAGCACAATGCCTCTCACAGCTAATCAGATAGTGATGCAAAGCAGTGTTTTCACGATGAATTGATGTCGTTTAAGAGTTACACTGTTGAAAATGAACAATAACCCTTACATTGCCCTTTTTCAACATAACAATGCTGGTTAATAAATTGAAATCAGAATTTCTTACAACCCAAAATCCGTATTAGCCCAAAGATCCAGTAATGCTAAGGCTTCAAGTTCTCTAAGCTAAACCCGTGCTGTGGCTATTAGGAACTAGCATGAGCCTTCAGTAACCAAGTCATATTAGTTTACTTAAAACCAAAACTGTAAATCAAACTAAATGCACTCATTTACTTTGACCGTCAAGAATTACTCACAGTATCTCTGCAGTTTCAGTGCAGCGGCATGACATGATCACGACCGCCTGCTAGCTAATGCTAACGCCACCTCGCAGTTAGCTCTTAAATTTAACAAAACAATGACTTGAAGTCTCTACATTTCGGTCGAGACCTCCAGTACACAACGCTTGTTCCTGCCAAAACAACTCGAATCTCACAAACTGCCAAATAATCCCTTTTAAATCACACTTCAGCATCCGCAGCTAACTACAAGGGCCATGAGAGCAGCCATCTTGGAGCACATCTAACATCCCCTGGAAATAATTTCAATTAAACAACACCAACTGAGTCTACACAGCAAAGTTAAAGCAAAATCTGTTTAAATAGCATTTAGCTACAGTATATCAAACCATTATTGGAATATTCCTTCGCTAAAACATCAGATGGACAAGGATTCTGCCTCCGACTCGAGCACGAAAACACGTACCCATTCTCAGGCGCCGGCTAGAAAGAGGAATCGCAAAGGTTCATGGGCAGGTTTGAAGCCGCGTGTTCTCGCGAGAATAAACGCCGTTGGAAACGAGATTTTCTTCGTCGGGACAGAAGAGTTTAACCGGCTCTGATCGTTATCATTTTTAACATGATGCATTTGTTTACGAAAATAAAAAATAGACCTTTATGAAGTTGCATCTTCAGTCAGGATGGAAAATCATTCCACTTTATATAACTGTTTATGTAATTTTATTATACATGTTTCATATACTAATGAAACGTCACTAAGTTACATCTTCATTAAATATCGGAAATTATTTCTCTTTTATGATACCTATTTATATAATTTTTAGCCTAATTTTTTCATACCCTTATAAACCCTTACTAAGTGACATTTTCAATAAATATGGAAAATATTTCTCTTTATATTCTACATTTGTTTCTATTATTTTAACCAGAATTATTTCATTAACTAATAAAATTAGAATAAGTTACACTTTAAATAAAGACACACACACACAACTTACACTTTTAGTAAATATGGGGGGGGGGGGGCATTCCTTAAGTATTCTATAATTTTTAAGTTAATTATTACATGCACTAATGAACTTTATTAATATTTAATAAATGGGTAAAATTATTCATCTTTATCTAATAGAATTTTAAGTTAATTATATTTAATAAAATCTTAATCAGTTACACTTTAAATTCTCCTATATGTTTATATTTATGTTTATATTATTTGAAGCAAGTGAGTTTGTTTGTACAGCCAAGTGCTTTGAATTGAAGACAAAGTTAATAAAAAAAAGAAGCATGTAATAAATAAATAAATAAATACATACATACATACATACATACATACATACATACATACATACATACATACATACATACATAAATAAATAATTAAATCTAACACACTGTTGACTCCACAAGGGAAATTGTCTTTTTTTTCCCATGTATCCCAGTTTACTAAGAAGTCAGTCTTATTTGTGTGGCACAGTTAACAACATACGCCATCTCACAGCGCTTAACATGGTAAGGTACAGACCTTACAAATTTAAACAGAGAAGAACCAACAATCCAAAGTTGCCTTTAGATTCCCTCTGAGCAAGCAGTCGGCAACATTGGGAAGGAAGAAGAAGCTCTTGTCGACTACATTACAGTTCCTCTGGAGCATATAGCGGGTAAATCAGACAATCTTAGTAAAGATGTGCGTCGCTGTGAGCAGGATTTGAACCTGCGAGGGGAAACCCCATTGGATTTCAAGTCCAACGCCTTAACCACTCGGCCATCACAGCTGTTTGACACCTGGATGAAGTGCAAAATAATTAAAACTGATTACAACAGCAGAAAAACAAAATAAAAAAAAAAATGGAATTGAAGTGAATTGAAGTGCACCCGCCGGGGCACTGGAATCTTTCTGCGTGGAGTCTCCATGTTCTCCCCGTGCAGCGTGGGTTCTCTCCGGGTTCTCCGGCTTCCTCCCACACAGTCCAGAAACATGTTGAGGTTAATTGATGATCCTAAATTGTCCGTAGGTGTGAATGTGAGTGTGCTTGGTTGTCTGTCTCTTAGTGTAGCCCTGTGATAGACTGGTGACCTGTCCAGGGTGTCTCCTGCCTTCACCCTAAGTCAGCCTGGAGAGGCTCCAGCCCCCCCGCGACCCTAGTGAGGATTAAGCGGTGTATAGATAATGAATGGGTGGATGAAGTGCACCCAAATTAGTAAGGAAAAGGCAGTTTAAAGCAGAAAGAAGCTTACTTTAAAAATGTCTCAATCATGGGAAAATCTAATTCCCAGCAGCATAATGACAAAACTCCATTTGACCTTATCTGGTCTGATCTCCTAACTGAATAGAGTCCTGCACATCTTAGAGACCTTAAAGACTTCAGACAACAAATCTCTGATGTACTTTGGTTCCAGAAAATTCTGAGACGTACAGAAAACAAATACAGCCTTAAATTCAGTTCTATATTTAACAGGGATAGATTTTATGTATGTTCTCATGATGAGCTTCTTCCTCTATGATCATATTTATATAACATTACTCAAAAAAGAAAAGTCTGACATCATGTGCCGCTGATTTAAACCCAAACTTTCATTTAAGTCGTCAATAAAAATCTCAGTCAGTCATGTTCATGGTTCCATATAGTTCTTTATTATATACAGCTATTGGTTATTTGGCAGATGTGAAGACAAGGTGATAAACTTGGCGAGATTCCTCCGTTCGACGGTGATTTGTGGAGTGTGCAGCAGTCAGTGGAGCAGCAGGAGGATCACTCCTCCCACGGACTCATGTCGGTGTCGATGGCCACACAGTTATACGCAGCGTAACGCAGCTTCTCCTCGCAAACCTTCGCACTGCACGACACAGTAAGAAGAGTTAGGAGGGAACGAATGTGATACTACTGTCACTTTGAAGCAGTTTTATGAATTTTCATTTGCTGAGGGTTATAGAAAACTTGACGTAGCTCAATGAAAAAAAACATGCATCCATCAAAATGTGTCCATAAATACAAACAGAACATGGTTATACCTTGGATAGTTGGGTAGATAAAGGGTGCTAGAACATGTGGAGGACTGTGGAAGTGCATCAGTTGTTTCAGAGCTGAATCAGAAAACAGAAAACAGATTTTTTTTTTCCAGATTTACCATCAACAGCAAACAGTGCTGTAACTGTTTACAGGTTTGCACTTGGGGCTCACCCTTGCTTGTCAGGGAAGACGTAGATGGGAGCAGGAAGACGACTTCTACCAGTTACAAACCTCAGAAACCTGCTGCGATCCTCTGAAAACAGAATTCAAGATTTACCAGTGACTTCTTCAGTCATGCAGCTACAAATGTTGACCGGTTTCATGTTGCAAAAGACATTAATCGTTTGTAAAATGTTGCGAAACAAACGGCGAACCAACCATTGGTGAAGTTCGTCAGCGCCTCCCATAAGTACTGCACTCTAACGTCACTTTGTTCCAGGTCTTCATACCGGGCTGGTGGGGAGATTAAAAGAGGATCATGATGGTGAATTCAGATTTATTGTGTTTTATAACTTTACTTTTGCTTTCTAAGATAGTTGGGAACCTGCAGGACAAACATCACCTAAAAGAGCTCAATCTTTTGTATGAGCTATTCAGGATTTAACTAATAAGAATGATGCAATGGAGATCAGTGGACACATTTGAAAGCAGGTTAACTGAATGCTAATATTGTCGAAAACACCTTTTTGTGTTTCCAAGATAAGATAAGATATGCCTTTATTTATCTCACAGTGGAGAAATTCACGTTGTTGATAGCAGCATTAAACACAGAGATACACATATACGAGACAGAAAAAAAATTTACATATAAATATAAGAAATAGAATAAAAAGAAATTCTTCTGCTATGACAAGCCCAGATATCTGCTGTACAACAGGCAGAAACAAGGAAGTACAGGTCTGCTAGCAAACAAATGTGGACGTATGCAATGTATTGAAAATCAGCTTTTCAGGAAACATATTCAGTATATTTGCTTGACCAAAATGACTCATGCATAAGTTATGGTCATAAACATACAAGAAAACTCTGATAATCAATGACAGATAAGCAACTGAAACAACTTCATGAGACACGAGTTGAACTAATCATCAAATTTGCTTCAATTTACACATTTCTCTCTGGAGTTTATGTGCAAAAAAGTCAAATGTCACCTTGTTCATCACGACAGAAAATGTGTTCTTATTGTCAGAGTTGCTCATTTGGACACTCACTGAGTCGTTTCAGGGCTTCCACAGTGATCTCCGGGTCTCCGCACACTTTCTTCTCCACTTCCTGCCAGGTGAGCAGGTCCAGCACCGCCTGAGGAACCACCTTCAGCAGCCCCGCCTGCATGGCTGCAATCTGTAACCAGATAATCAGGTGCATGAACGGGCCGTCGTGCCACTATTAGTGGGGTCCACACTGAGGAGCAAAAGCAAAAAGAGGACTTCTTAGTACACTGAACGTCCTACCTGCTGTTTGCTCTCCTCTAGCCGAGCCTTCTGCACCAGGCGGCTGAACTCGCTGCGGTCCTCGTAGCGAACCGGCACATTACTGCCGCCGGGGATGAGCTCCACCATCTGGCCGTCGCTCAGCAGGGTGGTGTACTCCAGCTCCTCCCCGAACATGAACTCAAACGTCTCCCGGTCCATGTTCTCCATCGAGTCCAGTTGGTTTACCTGAACACACATTCACCGCGAGGCAAAGATCCCGAGAGAAGAGTTAGACTGTTTATCTTGACTACTGTTCCATTTTAATGCCGAAATAGGGAAAAAAAATTAAAAATGCTACAGTGCTGCCTGTTTATTGTCATACCCTCGGTCCAGGATGGGGTTATGACTATATCTGGGATATTCCAATAAGCGGACTTCAATCTCAACGATAGAGTTCTGAGAAAATTGTGTCTTAGGTTTATACATAAAGCCAAAATGGGAATGTTTTCACAAGATCAAAGGGACAGTTTCTTTGAAGATCAAGAAATGATTATTCAAATGAAGCTTTGTGGTTTTGCCTCAGTGAAATTTCACCTTTGTCAGTACGAAAAGCCACCACATCAATAAAAGTTATTTCCATTAATCAGAGGATTAACTTGTCATGGTTAACTAGCTGAGCAGTTCAGTTATGAGTGATGACATGCTCTCTGACGTGCCCTAATTAATGTCAGAGAGTGTGTGAATAACTCAGTAAAGCAGATCTCAAGTGAGCAGGTAACTGACAAAGAAACAAACATGTTGCCTTCCACAGCTGACCGGGGTGTGATGATAATCTGCCTCACGTGACCGACGCTCGGCCCGTGAGCCCTAACGATCGGCCAACCATGACTTTAAACGGGCAAAAGTTATTCCTGGAATCAATCTCGGGGAATTTCGTTATGACCAAAACTGGGATTATGACATTATTTTATGATGATAAAGAAATGATTTTGGACTTTGATGTTTTATGATTATAAATGGAATATTCTATAAAGCGTCATGACATTAAGCGGGCAGCACTGTATTCGTAAAATCACTCATTGCACATGTCACAAGTACAGAGCAACGAAATTACCATAAAAATGCACTGAGCATACAGTAATGTGACAATTCCACTGCAACCAGCAGAGCCTCTTCTTCCTTCAGAGTTGCTGAGATTTACATACAAGATTTAAATGTTCTCACCAGCATGGAGTCCACAGCAGGGAAGTCTTTACTCCAGCTGATGGATTCCCCAGTCAGCTGCTTCCACACCAGCCCGGGCAGAGCCAAGACCTGCAGGAGTAAGTCTGAAAATCAAATATCTGCACCTACGAATGACCATCTGGGAATTGAGTACTGCCACGAGCAATACATTTGAATCTGCTCCTCTTCAGGATAGCAATAAAATGTTCATATATGTAGACAGTATTTTATCATTTGAAGAATGTATCTGTCAAAAAATTCCATAAATCGGTTAAAATATACAGCGCAGAGCAGCCAGAGTGCGTCACACACTTGAAAATTTATCTTCTGGCTTCATATACAGCGTATCATTGAATACAAAATACTGGTCTGTGTCGATAAAGCATTAAATATTGAACAGACTTACTCACCACCTCTGTTCCAGCTAGAGAACTCCAATCCTCTGCTTTTTAAACTACCCAGAATTGTGTTAAAATGAACTGAAGAGGCTTTTTCTCCCTTAAGACTAACATAAACCTTTTTATTTTCCACAGTCGGACGGCTGAACTGTTTCTCTTTCTGCCTCTCTGTGTGCATTGATGTGCTGTAACGTTTTCCATCTTAATTGTGAAGCACTTTAAAGTTGAGTCTGAAAAGTGTTCATATAAATATGAATGCTTATTTCATAGTGGTGCAAATACCCTACGGTTGGTGAAAAGTTACATGTACTCACCAAGAAGTCTTTCCCTCTGAGAGCAGCTCCCATCAGTTGACCGATCCACTCGTACTTGTGAAACTCTTTACAGGACGGGTTGGGGACGTAATAATCTCTGGCCCCTAAAGATCCCTGACAGAAAACAAAAAGACAGTTTCAGGAAAACAACCAGTGAGAACGAGGGCTGGCAACTAATCTGTTGATTACTTTCTCAATTAAAACATCAGAAAACGGCAAAAGAAAGGGGATCAGCCCAAGATGACGACCTCAAAATGACTTGTTTTGTCCACAACCTAAAAACATTCAGCTTATGGTCACAGAGGAGCAAAGAAACTAGAAAATATTCCTATTTAAGAAGCTGGAATCAATTAATTCTGACTTTTTTTTATTTTTAAAAAAGACACGCAAACTGAATGATCCATTAGGAAAATAGTTTCCAATAAATGTAAAAGTTAAAACCACAGGCAGTGATGGGACAGTGATTACCTGATCGGACGTCCGGGTGAAGAATGGCAGAGGCATCGGACACTTGCCTGAACTGGGACAAAGCTCCTCTGACATGTCGGCCAGACTGTCCCTGAAGCCCCCTCCTTGGTCGATGATTCCCTCTGCAATGAACTTACATTCCCACCACTGGTCGTAGCGAGCGGGCCATCTGATGATCCAGAAACACACATTGGAGGCTTTAACACCCTTGAGTCAAATTCAGGTTAGAAATCAGTGGCGATTCTAGGTTTTATTTTTAGGGGGGTGCCAATAGGGGGCCAATGCTATATTTTGGGGGGCACCCAATTACTAGCCTATCGCAATTTCTCAAGAAGTGTTCTTTACTTGTACTCACATTGTATGACTAAATATAGACCTAACCTGATTAAATAGAGCTAACAAAATAAACATGATCTGGAAAAGGTTTCTGGTCAGAACGTACTTTCAGAAGCAACTCATGACACTTAAACTGATTCACAGTGAAGACAAATGTTAAAATAACAGCCTGATGGCTCAAGGTACATTACAATGATACATACATGTGAATACACACATAAACACAACGCTCTCCTCTTTTATGTTAACAATGTTGTTCTTAATTTGCTCTGAGGACTGTCTGTCTGTCCTGCTCTGGTGCTGATGATGGGCTACAGCTGCTGGACTGGCCCTGTTTTGGATGCCTGTCCTCAGAACTGTCCCCCTGAACCTGTCTGGTTCACTGGTCTGACCCTCACATGGCTTCTTCTAAACTCTATTCAGGACTTTTGGGCTCTTTTGGACCCCGGGCCATTTGGTTTAGGTGACAGGTATTGTTTTTTGATTTTTAAAGATTTTATTTTAAATATAAAACGAGGGACATCTGTCATGTATTTGAAACTAAAAATACGTCAACTTATCAGAAAATGTATTTATCATTGTATAAAAGTCTATAATGAATACCAACAATTATTTTGCACATATTCTTTCTTGGGTCCAATGGACCCCCAAAGACCTTCTACCTATGGCAACATGAAAGTCCTGAATAGGGTTAAGACATTTAAAAATGCTGGCTGCTCCTCTTTCTGACATTACTGGCAGCCCTGCTGCTGCTGTAACAAAGACTAAATGACACCATTCAGATGTAAATCAAACTTGGGATTGGGTATGCCCTGGCTGCTCCCAAAAAATCTCTGTGTAAAGTGTCTTCATGTAACGGTACCATATTTTCCTTGTTTCAAAAAAAAAGAAGAAAAAAACACACCGCAGCAAGATTTCGTGTCACATAATCATTAATGCAGGAACCCCTTGATGGTTATTTACCATCTAGTCGGCACGTTTCATCAGCTCCTCTACTGAATAACATCAACTTTTTGTCATCAAAATGTTAAATGATGAAGTAAAGATGATGGGTAAATCTACGAGTTAAGATAAAACATATCAGTTTGTGTTCAATTCACTGCACGTTTGAATTTGACACCGTCTCAGAGTGTTCCTAAGTGCAGAGTGGAAGTGAGAGAAGAGGTGCGCATGTTTTATTCTCCAGCCGCTCCCGTCACAAACACGACCACAGTACTCTGTTCACCCCGCCCCCATAAAGCTGCGCTGTAACAACCAGCTAGCGCGCCTCAAAGAAACTACCCAATGACAACACAGTATTTCACCGGAGGAGCCAAGGGGGGGCCAATCAGATTCCAGATTCCAGATTCCCATCCCTTCGCCTATGTTAGAAATATCAAACTTAGGAGGCTGAGAAAATACACACCTGTAATCCAAAGTCTTCTCAAACTTGTCAGATGGCTTCAGACCTTCATACACCTGCCAGAGGAAAAATAAGTCAGACGACCGGTGAAATGAGATAAAGTTCTGTGCATCTCCTCACACTGAAGTCCATCAGTGGATTTTCTGATTCCCTCTACCTGATTTAACACAGCGTTCTTGCAGTTGGGATCCAGAGACGGGTTGTCTCGGTGCTCCATGGCCAGACGTCTGTTGATGTAGAGGCGAGGCATGAAGTTAGGCTTGCTGGTCTCCGAGTCCTTCAGGCATTGAGTGATGAGGGCGGAGCGGCGCTTCGACAGCAGCAGGAACTGCTTTATGCTCTAGAGGGCGCCAGAGAACAAGCACATGGATAAAAACACTATTTTTAAAAAGTATTTTGGATGCATGTCTCAGCGATTTAAATATTAGTCTTGGCTAATAAACCCTGAATGTCTATGCCAAAGTATCATGGAGGAACCTTAATGTTCTCTATTTATTCGAGATAATTATTTTACAAATTTCTTGCTTAAGGCTTGTTGTTACTCAGTGTCCGCTCATTAAAAGCTTTACGATGACTCACTTTGATCTGGTTGAAGGTACCCAGGCTGTAGTCCCAGGCCGGCACCAGGTGAGGCAGCACACTGTCCAGGAGACAGATGAACCTGCAGAGACAGCAGGAAACAACAGCCACAGACAATTACTGCATTGTAGATCATAAAAACACTTCACTGTCTTCACTGTAAAGACCTGACTGGCTGAAGAGACACATCTCCTTGACAAGTACTGTTCACATTTTTGTCAACCTCTACAAATACTTAGCAGAGAAAAAGAGAGAAAAAACGTCTTTCCAAACCAAGGCACTCTTTAGATTAAAGTGTCGATTATAATGATATTGCTGGACTATTAAAAAGATGCCCACACTGAGCATGTTTTTAAAAGCCCAGCAAGGACATCTAAGGAAAACACTGGATAAGCCTGAGCAATAAAATGATAGTATTATATATGAGAGTGATTGATAGATTCTTCTTTAATAGCGGGAAACTGCTCAGCAGAATGTTCAGTATTTCAACTTTAAAGCATTAAACTGCCATAAAATCCAGCGAATCAGAACTTTAGCCTCAATGCGGTGCAGCAGCTTCACGCTGATCGTCCTGCAGGTTTTATTTAATTAATGTGTATCAAGGTGAGATCACTCCTTTATCCCTTTTTACTTTTATACATGTGTGTAAACGTATGCATTGTATGGTTTTCACTGTTGTGTTACTTATCACATGCGTGCATTGATAAGTGGTTAAACTAAGCTTTTATCTGCTGGGCTTTATTAAAGTCAGTCATTATTATTTTTCAATAATTATAAATGGAACACCAACATGAAACATTATATTGTGATAAACTTTACAGCTGTATCGCCCTAACAGAGCATGTCTACAATTGTCTTTATAATTAGATTTAGCTCCATGACATTTTCTGCGACGTACCTCTGGATGACCAGCGCTCTGCGGTACAGGATGTCCGGCAGCGTGCCCTGCAGACGGGGGTAACGCACCAGGTTAGAGGACTGGAAAACATCAGCGTTCAGACCCAAGTCCCTTTCACATGAAGACTTGATCTTCAAGCCTCGGATCCGGACGTCTATCCCTTCATCTGTAACAGCAAAAAGAGCAGAAAAAATGGTGTTTCAGGGTTACCAGAGAAGCTTCTGTAGAAGAGCTCAAATGTTAAAGATGACAGAAATCACATTGTTGATTAAATACAGAAACATGCTAAAGAGCCTGACCTCTACATTCCTCGATCCGAACCTCGATGATGGGCAGGTGGGAGTTCATGTCCTCCAGCACACACACTTCTCCAATCAGATTACTAGAAGCAAACGACAGAACACAGCTGTGAAATATATAGAACGTGTGCTTTTCTCCTGCAGATGAGGAAGTAGCTGAGAGTGGCAGCTGAGATGGATGACCTCTTGTTCTTTCCTGCTTTTAACAGGTGTGTATGGATGTTATCAACAGTGGCAGAAAGATAATAGTCACAGACCATCTTGTGTAAAAACATTGGGTCCCTCTCTGAATTTTATACTGTTTCATCAACTGATTTAATGCGCTCTGATAATAAGACAAAAAGTTGTTGGGTACATGCCAGAAGATGAGCATAAAATATAACAGCTTCATTACAAAAAGTAGTGTCATTAGTCTAATATTCTGTTAATCGAAGTGCGTTTTTGTGAAACTGTGGGAGTCTTTTTGGGAATTATAATGAAACAATGAAGTTTTGAAAACTCACTCGTCTATGGTGACGTCGCTCAGCTTCTTCAGGTTGTCTCCTTCTCCTCCGAACACTGTGACTCTCTTGGGCATGTAGTTGTCGTCGGTTGAGTCCACAGTTAATATCAGCTTACTAGTGAACAGAAAGAGGTTCTTTATGTGCAAGAAAAGCTAAAGCAAACATAACATGCTTCGAGTCTTTAAACGAGCATTTGTTCAATATCAGGACTGTGGATGATACAGTGACAGCACAACAAAATGTGTGTGTTGTATCACAGAGACATGGATGTGTTTTCATGACAAGCTAAACGAAAAGGATGTCCAATATTCTCAGCTTTATCAGCTAACAGATGCTTCTTAGTCTCAAGAAGCTTGGTAGGAGAAACATTTTCCAACACGACAATGATCCCTAACACACGACAGAAGACCTTTGGAGTATTTTAAAGCAGAAAGTAACATCTGTGAGGAGCATCTCCACACATTTCTGCCAAACTGGTACCAAGCATATTCAGCAGGACTAAATCTGTAGTAAAAAATAAAGGTAGAAATACAAAATATTTAAAGAAGAAAGGATTAAATCTCATTTTATTTGCCACTTGCTCTTAAGTATTAATGTTTTGTTATAGTTTAGTTCGTCATGCATTCAGTTTATCAAATTAATCTGCTTATTTTCTCTTGGTTTCTGGCTATGTAGAAATAAAGCTGCATTAAACAGGTGTTTGTCCATGTTATATTAACATGGACTCCGTTTGGTTGCATATTGGAGAATAAAATAACACAAATAATCTAAATTGACGATAATACACAGCTGACATGAAGAAATTACGACCATAATCATACTCCATCAACACTACAGCTGCTTTTAACTTCTTCTTCTTGCTGTGTTGCTCAGCAGCTGCTTACTTGACCACAGTGCCTCTCTTCATGTGCAGGCGGATCCAGTGCTGTCCCTGCATGCCGTCGCTCTCCCAGTAAGTTTCAGTGTCGCCATCCGTCAGACAGCTCACTCCTCCGCTGGGATCCTCCTGTCAGCAAATATCATACAGAGACAAAGCTTTCAGTTCAAGTCAGTATTTACCATTTCTGCACTCTTCAAGTGTACTGATAACTCCATGAAATCATAAATGAAAACTGTCAGTCTTGTTTTTTATTCATAAAAAGTCTGACTTCAGATTGTGGCGAAACATAAATAGTTGACCCAAGTTTTATTTCAGGACAAATTTTGTGAAAAGTGCTGATTGTTGCTCACCGAACACGAAGAAACATCGATGCTGGTCACACACTGCTTCACGCTGCCCAGGTTCTCGTCCTCTTTCCCAATGTGGTCGTAGAAGTAGTGAACCAGGTCCTCGTCACATTCATACGTCCAGGTAGGAGGAACGTACCTTAAAAGAATAAAAGGTTGAATTTTAGTTTGACGATACGTAGCTCCAGGAAAGCATAAAAACTCTTCACACAAACAGACCCACCTCAGCTTCTGGACGGCGTTGTCGTCACACTCTGCGATTTTGGGTTTGGACCCGATGTAAAGCGCATTCTCCACGTCCACCACCTGCTCCCACCTGTTGCAGGGTTTGTGGTCGTAGCCGAAGAGCTGCTGCTGCCGGCTGACAGTCTCCGGTGACTCGACGGGCACCAGTCGGTCGCCTCCCTCTGTGTGTTTACACACCAGGATCCAGCCTTCCTCCAGCTCCTGGCCCGGACGGTGCTCCTCCAGCTGCTCCTGGGAACACAAAACATATTCTTTCTCACCACATTTAAATCCTCAAACAATGTGAGGAGAATAAAAGAAATCCCAACAGAGAGGAGACATTTGTCTGATACCGGTGACAACATGGTGTCTGTTAAAGCTGAGAAAATAACAGGTGAAGTTGAATTTAACAGGAGCTGGAGTCAGTCATGGATTGAACATAGAGTTGGTTTGTTTATTTGATTCTTGGCTTTTTGTGTCCACACGTCAAAGCAAGACGCGCTAAAGCATTCTGAATAAAACTTATACAAAAATGTTGTTCCTGTATCTGTCAGTTTAACAAAATACTCTGTTCAGTTATTGGTCTCAACCATTTCAAACATCTTTTCAACTTACACCACAGTTATAAACTCAAAACCAACAGCTGAAAGAAATCTTCCACTATTCTGTCTCCTGACATCTTGATTTGTTTCACTTTTTACCCGTTTAGGTCGCCAAAGCAGATGTACAGCTAAAACTCTGCTGCACATTTATTAACAAAGAGTCCACGGTGCTCTCACGTTACCCAAATGGCTTCCTGTGAAATTTAAGACCGACTTTAAAATCCTTGTAATTACTTTTAAGGCACAATGCAACTTAGCTCCACAGTATACCAGTGAGCTGCTGATCCTCAGGTGATCAGAACAGGTCTGCCTCGGAGGATCAGGACAGTAAAACTCTGCTCACGGTTCATCATCAAAGACACCTCATTGATGCTTTCCCTCCTTGACTTTTTTATTACTTGACATTTTTTTTCGTGTGTGAATTTATGCCATCTTAGTGTTTTTTCTTGTGTGTTTCTGCCATTTCTTAAAGAAGTACTCTTTTTTTTGGAAGTACTTTTTAACCCAAATACTGAAAAATAAGGAAAATTTAACTTGCTAATAACACATCCTCTGTTTGGAGGAACTTCTGTAGCAAACTGTACATTGTGCTACTGTGTGGCACCAAAAATTTGCTTTAACATGAACTGTACAGAGGGCTGCAAGGTGGCTCGGCGATTAGGACCACTGCATCGCAGCAAGAAGGTCGCCGGTTTGCATCCCAGCGAAGACACCCGGGATCTTTCTGCGTGGAGTTTGCATGTTCTCCCCGTGCAGCGTGGGTTCTCTCCAGGTTTTCCAGCTTCCTCCCTCAGGCCAAAAACGTGTTGAGGTTAATTGGTGATTCTAAATTGTCCGTAGGTGTGAATGTGAGTGTGCTTGGTTGTCTGTCTCTAAGTGTAGCCCTGTGATAGACTGGTGACCTGTCCAGGGTGTCTCCTGCCTTCACCTTCAGTCAAGCGGTGAAAATGCAAATCCTTACTGTGTGAATAAACAAGTGATCCATAGCTTTACTACTGCACTACTACCTGTACATACTCTTCATATTAAACATAACGTATGTTGCATTTATTTGGATACAAACTGCCATTGTTGCACTCCTGGCTTCATTGCTCATTTATGTGCACACAGCTGTATCTTGTTTATTACTATCACTGTTTTAGATGTATGTATTGCACATACAGTACGTCAACATTCACTAGAGCTGAAAGAATGAACCAATCAGGTGTAAACTATTAAATTAACCGGTAACTATTTTCATAATCAAATAATCGGTTTGACGACACTTTTTTTAGGGAAAAAAAGGTCAAAATTCTTTGGTTTCAGCTTCTTAAATCTGAATACTTTCAAGTTTCTTTACTCCTCCATGACAGTAAATGGAGCATCTTTGGGAAATGGACAAGATATTTGGAGTCATCGTCTTGGCTTTTGGGAAACAGGGACCAACATTTTTCACCATTTCTGTCCTAACATTTTGTCAAAAAAGTTCATCTATCCAACTCAGTTGCATCTCCTTCTATTGATGATCCATTTTTCTACTCTGTAGTTATCTGAACCAACGTCTCAGGTCACTAATCAACCTGATGTCTGTGTCTTTGGATGAACCATTGCACGGCATTAGAAAAAGAGGCCACTTCATTCTGCATTCAAACCCAAAAGCTGGTTGCTGGAGTTTAAATAAACAACAGAAACAGGAGGGAACCCTGGTTGTTGTAATTTAAACATGATGCACATACCCCTGTTGGCATAAAGGATAAAGGAATGTAAAGAGGTGCAACTATGAAGTAGATTAGAGTCACAGAAGCTGTTTCATCAGCATGAATCTGCAGGATGACGTGACAGCCGCTCACCTTGTTCATTTTGACCCACAGGCCCTGGCTGTTGCAGTATTCCTCCCCTGTGGTCCGGATGCATGTCCCTTTCTTTGGTTCTATGTTGTACTTGCTTAACTTCTTGCTGTGGGGAATCTGATGAGGACTTTCGAAGACGGAGACGACAGTTTTCCCGACGGTGGAGCCTCCTGCTGAGGCCCCAGAGGAGGCTCCGGAGGTGGACGATGAATCCTTGCAGATTTTGTAGCACACCTCTTTGGGGACGTAACACAGACACTCGGGCACCGGTTCGCTCCTCCGGAAACTCTCGATGCACCTGTTCAGGAAGCGGATCCTGCCCAGCAGCAGGTGAGGGTTGTCGCCCAGAGACATGGTGACGATGAGGATGGTGATGAAGGGGGGAGTCAGCAGCTCAGCCGGGAGGCTTCAGCTGGCATCACACCGCTGACCTGCCTTTGTTTTGCTGCCCGGCAGCGCAGGGATGCTCCTGTCAAACCGAACAAAACCGAATATTCTTGAATAACAGAGGCTTCAGTAAACAACAGCCAAACCCCGTGACTTATTCCGACTTCCGTGTCTCTTCCACCGGGTATGGAAACAGTGTGAACGCTCATAAATCAGAGGTCAAAGTTCCCCCACAGAGTGACTCAAGTCTCGGCTTCTTCCGAAACATAAAAGTGAGGAAGCTAACGTTAGCATGTTAGCTGGTTTTCGGTAAATGACTGAGGCTCTTACGAAAGCTTTCGTCAACAAACCGGCTGGTTGGTTAGTTTATTGTTGTATCATAACTTTATGAAAGACGGAAGTTTAATAAAGACACAGTTATGTTTAGAAAGAGTAGCTGTTCACGTACCTGCTGACAAGTGTTTGTTTTAAAAACTCGTCTGTCGGTGTTGCAGATTTCTGACAACGCGGAAGTCCTAAATGGCCCGTTTGGTCCTTCCGAACTCCCGTCGATTTTAAATTTCAAAATAAAAGCTTCTCAGCCAAAACGTGCATATTTAAAAACTTAAAATAATTTGTTATCTAACAAGATTGTACACACATGCCCTGTGTTTTGTGGATTTATTTCACCCAAGCAGAAAAATCAGTTTGAACTTGGTATAGAGAATAAACTACGACTTTTGTTTAATGCTCTTTTTATTGTGTAGGTAGACCACGTGGGTTCATGCAAACGCATGCAAAGTCTTCCACCCGCCTACTGCAGTCTGTCAGCGTCATAGACTGTCTGTTCAGCTGCAAGACTTATATAAAAGTGTCCCAAATCCCAAGTCCTCTCTGTGTTATAAAGAGTATATTAAGTTTAAAGTTGTGTTTTTTGTTTATAAAGCCCTTAATGGTTTTAGCTTCATACTGCATGAAGTTTTGCTGCCCTGAGGCCTCTTAGGTCATCACCACAGTGACTCAGCTCTGTCTCCCATTTACTCACTTTGTTTTTCTTCTTGTGTCAAAGAATGAATCCACAGAAAAGCTTCGAAAACTTTATTATATCGTGACAGTTTTCTTCAGTAACTGATTAACCATCAGAAGATTACAATTTTTAATTGAACAGTCAACAAAATGGAACTGTTATGAGCTAATTCTGCATACTTTATTTTCCTAAATGTAACTGGGTTGATGTTTCAGCCCACATCATAACTCACTGTGTCCATGGCAACACGATGCTTTGTGTGAGAAGACTTTTAATGTGACGTTTTCCAGAAAATAAAAATATTCATTTTACAAACTTATCTGAATCAACAAAGGCTGCCAAATCATCACAAGAAATATATATTGTTATCAACAGTTGTGTTTAATCAGTGCCTTTTCTTGTTCTTTGTGATTGGTGGCATCAGTGTCTTCTTCAGCTTCGTCTTCCTCACTTCGGTGTGATAAGACGTCGATCAGAGAGGAGAAGCTTCCACCTCGCAGGATTCCTTCACCTCTCTGCAGGACGCCGTTCATCCCGTCGACCTGAAGAGGAAAATACTGTTTGTCTACAGGAGTGTCTGCGGGAAGGTGGATCTCAAGATCTTCAGCACTCATCCTGTAAAAACCGGAGACATTTAAAGCTCAAACAAGGCAGGTGTTGTGATTTAACTGGACAATAAAAATACTCTGATGCAGCTGATGATCCTGCATTGAAACAGTTACTGAAGTGTAATTAAAATGATGTAAAATATCAAAAGAAAAAATACATAAACCAGAAATTACCAACACACTGCAATTAATAATTATGTCCCTAATTGTTTGTTTGTCTGGTGTATAATTAAAAAAACATAAGAAATCTTTGTCAGAGTTGCCCAAATGTCCTCCGAATCTCGAAATTATTAACTTCATAACAAAGTGTAATTATCAAAATTCTTTAAGATTGGGAACAAACTCCTGTCAACCAGTAGGAAATGAGAGTTTTGGACTTTCATGGCTACTTAAAAAAAGACAAATGGGAAAATTGTAGGATGAAAAACAGTAAATTTTTCATATTTGAGAAGCTGAAACATGCTTAGAATTGACAATTATTAAATAGTTTCAGATCAATTTTACTTCACTGCTTTTACACACTTTTGGTTAAATCTATCATAAAGCATCACATTTTAGATTTTCTTTATCTGTTTTGTAAAATTTCCCACCACAACATCTACGGGATGAACGGAGAGCAGTAAAAAGTACAATATCTCCCTCAGCTATCAAGAAGATTTATTGATGTGTTATAAGTACAAGACCCAAACCAATCAGGCCTACAGGGCACCATTATTTAGAAAAACATAAATAAAAAATCCACATGAGCAACCTAAATTACAAATAACACTAAATGAATGGACCATCCTGACATGTTTCCGTTCCATTTACCATAAAAGATAACTATAAATCCTAATTATAAGTCACTATAATAGGGACAATAGAAACTGAAGATTTGATTTATTC